AAAGAAAGTCGCTCTGACTTTGATTTAATTGTAAAGAGTATTGTACGATAGGGCCGAAAGAGTGATTAACCTAAAGGTTAAAGCGATCCCAAATCGCCGTTAATTAGCAGGTGCTAACCCAATCCGTTTTAAGCCACATTGGATGAAAAAAAGGGGGGGGCGGAAGCACCTAAGAGACAATAGGAGCAGAGTACGAGAACCAGGCGTGCAGTCCATAAAATTACTAATCCGACGGAGCAAGCAAACAGCTGGATATAGGTAGGATTTTTTGATTATTTTTGCTATATTGGATTTTAAGGGGACTGCACGCGCTCATAAACCTCGCGAGTTTGCGCCTTGGAAATAAAGGTAGTTAAGGGAGTAACACTAATGAGTGTAGCACCCCGTTCATTCCTTGGGTGATAGGAGACGGTACAGGTCTATTAGGCCGAAATTTTTAACCTCGTTCACACCCTATACCCGTGCGGAAGCAGTATGGCTCTACTGACAGCCCAGGTGGACGCGTGGGCGTTAGAGCTGACCTCCGTACAACACGAGCATTACCTGGTGGAATTGGAGCTGGACAAGGATGGCAGCGTGATCCAGCAAACGGCCTGGTTAGGAAGATGGTTGCTGGGGGAGTATAGCGACTCAGACTTTGAGGAAACCACGCTAAGAAAGCAGGTGGCGGGACGCAGGATATCCACCCGTCAGGAGTGGCTCGACACGATCTGCGATGAGTTAGTAGCTGCAAGTGCAGAGGACCTGAACGAACATCATTTGAGGCACATTAACAGGGAGGGTATTGCCTTGGCGAATTTGTCAAGGACGTTCACTTACCTGGATGAGAACTCAAAAATGGAAGCCGGCCGCCAAAAAGAGGCCATCCACTTGGAAGGTTTCGACGCTCAGGACCAAGAGGAAGGGGGCAAAGTGTGGAGCAACCAAGAAAGAAGAGCGCAGAAGTCCTGTGCTCGGAAGGCGCTGCAAACGGAATTATCGTGAAGCAACGCCTTCCGGGAAATAGAGCATCTGAAGGAGGGGATCGACCGCAACCGAATGCTGGTGAATCGTATCCTCGAAGCGCTATAGACTCTTCAGAATATGCAGGTACGGTTCAGAATTGCGCAATCCTCCAATTCCGACAAGAAAATAGAGGAGTGACTGGAGGGTATAGAGCAAATCTTGCGAAAAATGACGTCAGAAATATGTGATAGCCCTTCAAAACAGCGCAAAAGTCGATGGCGTGAGAGAAGAAGGAGTTCACCTTCTCTCGGATCTTCAGGCGAGCGGCGAGAAGGTGTGAGGCGAAAGATAGACTTCACTAATACCTCTTCAGTGTTTCGCTTGTGGCAATCTGGGATCTAGCCGAACATTCAGCCCAGATTCCAGCAAGGAGAGCGAAGAAAAGAGGTCATCTTCGCGTCTTTAGTGAGTTCCACCTCTCGCCACCAGTCGTCGACAGAGAAAAGTACATTGTTGGTGACCTAGAGATCCGAATAAATCCTAAAAGGGTATCAAGGAAACCCGGGACCGAGCAGTTGGACAGAGCAGTTGACCAATAAGCCCGAAACCAGCTCTCGGCAGACCACTGGTGCGGTCGTTATCCTGGAATGACCAGGAGGCCGTATCCAGATAGTGGAGGAGGGGAACGACCCGATCCATAAAGGAAATGAGGGATCCGAGGATCCGAAAAAGTCGGGTAACATCACACAAGACGCTCTCATGCCGAAGCAGACCGCGGGTAAGTATAAATCCACCGCCGTAACGGCGGCTCAAGGAATACAGCCGCTAAACAGAGCGGCGGCCACAGGTAGAAAGGAGTCTCGCGGATATAACCTTGAGGATGAAACCAGATGGTGGTTGCGGGTAGACATAGGTGACTTTAGAATCAAAACACTCTATGATTTCGGAGCCTCATCTACGGTATGGGTCAGCTAGAACTTAGGTTGGTATCGGAAATGGAGCACGTTCGAATGTGTCCAGGGCAGGCGACGTAAGGCTCGCTGATAGACGTCAATGTCTCATCATCGGCTACATGGTTTTACCGTTTAAGGTGGGGAGGAATCACCAAGAATATAAGGGTCGCCACTGCTCACGGATGACTGCTATGTTGGCGCGAATTTCATACGAGAGTTCCGCGCAGTCTTGGATCCCGATGAGGACCATTTGTGGTTGAAAGACGCTCAGGTAAATTTAGCGATGGAAGTGATGAATATAGATGGTGCATGCCTCACAACGGTAGGACTGTAGGAAGCCACGTAGCAGCAGCTGGAAGAAGTTGAGAGCGTCGTTAATAGAATGATACTGAATGGAGGAGAGGCATTAGGCTGCGTCGTGGGGGTTGAGCACGAAATAGATGTAGGAGGTGCATTAAGCAGAAATATTATCTCGTATCCATCAGGGTGCGAGAGAAGATGCTCGTGCTGGTTAAAGATATGCTGGAGAAGAATGTGATTGAGCAGCGACCAGCGGGTGGTCAAGTCTAGTGGTAATAGTGAAAAAAGCTGATAGGAACTATAAGTTCTGCGTAAACTATCAAAAGATGAATGCAGTGACCAGACTAAATGCCTATTCCCTACCATTTATGAATCCTAAATTCCCCTTAAGGAAGAGTCAGGCCAATTTTAGCGTTTACAATACACGGTTGGAGCTTTTCTAATTCAGAAGGATGCCTCTTGGTCTGTCATATGCGGGAAAGATCTTCCAGAGGTTGATGGACAAGGTGATAGGCCCAAATATGGATCCATTGGCTTTCATATACATCGACGACGTGGTCGTCATTTCGTCGTTTTTTGAGGAGCATAAACGGCACCTTGAACAGGTATTGAAGCGGATTTTGGGTGCGGGCCTAATCATCAACAAAAGGAAGAGTCACTTCTGTAAAACGGAAGTAAGGTACTTGGATGTCCTCGTGAACCAGGACGGAGTAAGACCAGACATCGAAAAAGTAAGGCTGATATTGGAATATCCAACACCACGGACAGCGAGACAGTGAGACATTTTACCGCTGATCGTGAGCTACGCTACATGCAAATCCGTTACTAGCTCAGACCATCGAGAACTTTGTGACTTAACTGAATGAGTCTGCAGTTAGAATCTGTAAGGAGGCAAAGCGCCGCTCAGTAATAATAGTTAGGGGTGCTTTGCGTGATTTGTCGTGTTCATAATTTCATCGTGACGCGAGGATCTGTCGATGCCTGGAATAGAGAGCTCCGACCGATGTTTTATAGATGTTTTTTTTAGATGTTTTATACCCGATTTCGCCAAGATCGCTAAACGTATAAACCGCCTAATAAAAAAAATGTCTGCTTCGTCTGGGAGGAGGAGCAAGAGTGAGCTTTTGCGACGTTGCAGGCGATAACTTTCACCTCAATACTGCAACCTCCCAACTTATACGGTCAGTTTGTCATACAGACTGACACGAGTGATAGTGGGGTCGGAGCGGTCCTACCACAGGATGTCAATAGAGAGGAGCGCGTGATCGAGTATGCCAATCGATCCCTAAGCAGTACTGAGAGGAATTATACAGCCTCCGCGAAAGCGTGCCTAGCAGTGGTTGGGCCATCGGAAAATTCCGGCTCTACATTGAAGGGCATTACTTCAAGATCATTACTTATCATAGCTGCCTTAAATGACTCCACAGTACGAGAAATCCCATATGAAGGCTAACGCGTTAGGTATTAGCATTACACGGCAATGTTTTTGACATTGAATATCGAAGAGGGGATCTCAATTTAGTGCCAGACTTTTTATCTAGATTCTTTGAGGAGGAGGGGACTAAAGTGAGTGCCATGACTAGTCAGCCGAAAACAGCGGACACTTGGTACTTACAACAATACCAAAAGGACCCGCACTTGCATCCCATGTGGAAGGTGGTCGGTGGGAGACTGTACCATTATCAGCCTGACGAGGAGGGCACAGATTCTATCGACAATGAAGAGGCGTGGAAGCTAGCCATGCTTAGAGAGAAAAGGCACCAGATGCTCGAAGGAGTTCACGATGCTCCAACGGCGGGACACCAAAGACGTGAGCGAACGTTTTCCAGAGCTAGGCGTTTGTACTCTTCACTTAAAAAGTATGACCAGGTCAGGGAGTACATCAAGAGTTGTACGGTATTTCATCAATGCAAGGTGGAGCAAAGAGCACCCACGGGCTAATGGATCAAGTTCGCGTTAAACTCAGCAACTCATAGCGCCACCAGATATATAAGGATCTCAAATCTTATTATGGTCCAGGAGAGGAAGAAGATGAGGAACAAGAAGATCGGGAAGCAGCAGAATCACAGAAGATGGACTGGCGGAGGCGGATGATTCGGTTGAGACGTGTGTACATCCTAGTGAGGATTTATCGAGGGAGTGATTACCGTAATTGCACCGAAGGGTGGGCACACCTCCCTTTTTCTGCGCGACAAAATATTTGCGAAAGTATTTTGTCAATTGTGACCGTTTTTTGTTCGCGCCGAGCGTTAGTTTTCGCTGTAGAATTTTGATCTCTCTCTCTCTCTCTCTCTTATTTTGTTTCCTTTTAGTTTAACGGATCCGTCATCGGTTATTTTTTAAACTGATTCCATCTAGAGGATAGTTGGAGTAAACATTAGGTCACTTACACCTAAGATAAATCGAGTATCACAAGTCAGATGACTTAAGGTGTGTTCAACTCTGTTGGAAAAGAAGACAACGGAACAAAAGTATCAAACGTAAAGGCGAATACACGTATACTCATACGTAATTAACGGAGCGGCGGTTAGCTCTGCATCGTGGGAGTTTGTTCTTTAATAAACCCGTTTTATACCAGCTGATCTATCCCATTACAGTATATTATTTTGAAACTTAACGTGGCATATTGTAAGATTTGTCAATTAAGTAATGAATCTATTATGTATACATAACTATAGAATAATTGAAAATTTTCCCGTTTTTTTTATGACACAGATTTTCCCTGATCTTTTATAAGTTATCTTACATATTTTTTTAAAAATTGTTAGCAGTCTTATACTAATAGAATTAATGTTTTTTCAGAGTTGTTGTAGATACACTGAAAATTGTTGATCCTCATAGAAAATGTTACAGGATGGTAGGCGGAATATTATGTGAACGTACCGTACAAGAAATTATGCCTGTTCTTCTTGGAAATAAAGATCAGGTATGAAATTTTCACAATGTTATGTATGTGTGTACAAGTAAAGTGTCATCCTATGTATAATTAATTCCCTAGATTGTTTTATATTCGAGCTTACTAAAATGTAAAAGAAAATAATGGCACATCTAAGAAGTGTAGTTTTTCGTATAATAGGATACATAAGAACCCTAAAAAATATGGCGTACATAATTTGTTTTAATGTCATCATAGAAAAACAAATGAATAATAAGGTTTTATTTCGACTACGTAAATATAATTCAAAAGTTTATAAGTTAATAAAACTTATTTATTGAGTCAACAACTATATTTAAGAATATAATAAACTATTTTATATGTAATTATAATACAATCATAGAAATACATATAGCATTTTTATTGATAACTTGATCTTTATACATTAATTTTTTGTTTATAAAACTTTTTCTATTTTTACACTTTCTTTTAATTTAATATCATTTTTGGTTTTAACAAAGTTTTTGCAACAATAATTTTTTTTATGATTTGCCTCTTTCCTATTTATTAAAAATTTTCTTATTGATTCTCATGAAAGTTAATTTTATAATGTTGCTAAATAAAAATAAACGCATTTTGCTCATAAACGTTAGTAACTGCAGCATTTCAGTCATATATTTTTTTCATAACAGGCGCACCAGTATAACCAATATTGCTTGAAAGTATAATTATTCAATAAATTCCTATATGATTTTTAAAAAGGTAGAAACAAAGATATTTTTTTATCGATTTAGGAATTAAAATGTTCTGTATAAGTACCGTCAACAATTGCAACATTTTTACATAATTGTAGTAAATTTTGATTATTTATCATTAGCCATATGTACAAAATCTATGAAACTTTGCGACTGATTATATTTTAACGGGGATATGTCATCACTTAATAGGCCAAGCAACAGGGATTTGTTCGTGACATATATCTTTACAGATTACACAAGCCGACAAGGAAAAAAACCCAGAAACCAGACAGTACGTTCCCAAAGGTTTTTGGTGCGCTGAAACCGAATCTGACCTCAGAATTGCTCCATCACCCTAGGTTTTCGAGAAATCCTAACCTAAAAGTTCAAAAAACACGATTTTTCACTATATTTCGCGTAGTATTACGTCGTAAGCCAATTTTATTTTACAAAACGAGTCATGCTATCTCAAAGTACTACTCTTACCCTTCAAAACCCTTTTTTCAGATTTAACAATCTTTTTTTTCCATCGAGATATCGTAGATTTAATTTGAGTGATTTAGCGATTTCGTTAAGCACGAAATAGTGGCGAATTTCCGAATAAGGAGTTATAGTGTAATTATATGTTTTTTGGGTCACTGAATCCAAATTTAACGTCAGAATGACTCTATAATCTCAATTCCCTTAACCCTAGAGCCCCATAACCTGCGACGCTGTAACCCCTGACCGATATACCCCAATTTCCTTAACCCTCGAGCCTTTTAACCTGCTGCGGTATAACCCCCGACCCTCATATCCCAATTTCCTCAACCCTCGAGCCTTTAACCTGCGAAGATATAACCCACGACCCTCACACCCCAATTTCCTTAACCCTCGAGCCCTATTACCGCGACGCTATAACCCCCAACCCTCATACCGAAATTCGCTACGCAGAATACCTCAAGCCTCCAAATTATATTCAACCCCCGAGCCCTGCAAGTCTGCAACCTCAGACTCCTTTGCCAGAATTTCCTCAATCAGCATTTCAAGCTGCTATCGTATAACCGTATGTCTCTACATTTCAATCCCTTCAATATCCAAGCCTTGTATTCTACGCAGCTTTCAATTATGCGTGTTAAATCTCATTTATTCAGTTTGTGAGTTTTGCATCTGAATATCTGCAACCCTACAGTTTTTCACTTCTTTTTTTTATGAGAACGCTGTCGTTTATCTTGAAATGAACGTTTAAAAGATTTGCGTCTATGATGATCTGTCAATGTATCGTGTTGGTGTAGAGCCCAGCAATAGTCAGCCATCATGCTCTCATTCCATCTACCTCGATAATGTTCCTCTTTGTTTCTGAAATCTTGATGAAATCTTTCACCCATTTCTTCACTGAACGCCCCAACATTGTCCGGAAAGTATTCCAAATGTGAAAACAAAAAGTCTATTTTCAGGCTCATCAAACACCCTAATTTTTGAAAATTCTGTAGCATTGTCGACACAATAGTTTTGTATTTAGGGTCCCGGTGGTTTCCGAGAAAATTCTCGGTGACACTTTTGAGACTTATCCAAGCATGTCTCTCATTAGTCGTCATTGTCAAGAGGAATTCATCATCTTTCATAAGTGCTCGAATGTCTGGCCCTCCAAATATGCCTTCATTAATTTTCGCTTCAGACAATTTAGGAAATTTGCCGTGAAGATACTTGTCACATTCGCCTTCCTTATCTAGTGCCTTGACGAATCGCTTCATCAAGCCCAGTTTTATATGGAGTGGAGGTAACAAGATATGTTTAGTATCAACAAGGTTCTTATGGACGACATTGTGTGATCCAACAACCATTCCGATTCTTTTCGTCCATTCTTTCCGAACCCAATGTTCTTCTCGTGTACGACTGTCCCAGAGACACAAAAAACAGGGGTGCTTCGTATTTCCAGATTGCAAGCCAACTAATATATTGATCATCTTGAAATCGCCACAAACGAGCCATTTGTGTTCATTGTAATTGATTTTCTCAAGAAGGATTCGAAAGTTATCGTGAGACTCTTTCATCACAGTGGAATGAGCAATGGGAATAGCTGCATACTCATTCCCATTGTGCAGAAGTACTGCCTTGAGACTTTGTACAGATGCATCCATGAAGAGTCGCCAGTTCTCTGGATTATAACCTCCTTGCACTCCATATAAACTGATGAGATGCTTTATATCGTTGCAGTAAACAAGGTTATCCACGCAAGTAAAATATGGCCGAAATTTAATATCTCTCTTCCTGTAAATAGAAACTTTTGTCTCAGGTAATAAAAGATTTCTTTCTTTTAGTCTTGAAGCTAAGAGTTCTGAAGAATCTTTCGGAAGATTCAAATCACGGATCAGATCATCCAAAGAATTTTGGTCGAAAAGTTTAGGCTTTTCTGAGTCAGAAAAATCTTCTTCATCACTACTGCTGCTTTTGTCTGTTACCGGAACTTCTATTGGTTGAAGTTTTTTTGGCTCAGAATCAGAATTTTTTTTTCTTTCTATTTTTCCATACTGAACTGCTGTTACACTAGAAACGTTCGGATAAAGGAGAGAAGCTTTGTTATTATGATTAAAACCTAAAGTATCACATTTACAAAAGTAACAGTCATCATGGTGATTTTTAGGTTCACGCCATATTGTTGGTTGGAGAACAACTTCGGTTTTAGTTTTATTCCAGTTTTTCAAACTTCGGTGACAGTCTTCACAAATATATTTAGGAACCCTTTGTTTGTCTAAATTCTTCATAGGTGTCTCGTAACATTCTTCAAACTGATCTTTAATGATATCAGTGATTGATCGACGAAGTCGAGCTACCTCAAATTTACCGCAGATATTACAAAAGAAATCGATTTTTCCTTTGCATGGAATTCTACATGCCGACATCTTCAATAACTTATAAGTTAATTGGAAATCACGAGTAATATTATAAACTTATTCTAATAACGAAATGGGTAAATATAATTAAATTTCTAGAAGACAAAGTAATGATAAAGATCAGTAAAATTACTGCACGCAGTGTTGTACGAGAAATAATACAAAAAATTCAATTCCAGTGACTTATCCGTTAGCCTGCCGCTCAAACACGATCCCTAACACGGATGAAGAATGAAGCACAAAAATTTGTAGTTTTTGAGCAATGTCATACACGGTTATCCTCAAGTAAGGAAATGTAGGCCCTAAGTGAACCCGATATCTGCTAACGTAGATATTTTCTTCATCGTTAGTAGACCAGAAAAATGTAAGATTAAAAATCCTATCTGATCGATTTCGCAAGTTATAGACACTTGTATTTAAACGTAAATTATACTTGTATACGTAAGTTGGATATGAATTTTCCTATCACAGACACAAATTCTTCTACCTTCTTTTACCGCAGAAATGACGTCTATCGTTGTTCCATTGACCCAGCGGTATTCCCCGTCCACCAAACCCGAATTTCTTTAACCCTCGATAGGACCGGGGGTTATAGCTTCGCAGATTAAAGACTCGAGGGTTAAGGAAATTGGGGTGTGAGAGTCGGGGGTTATACCGCAGCAGGTTAAAGGGCTCGAGAGTTAAGGACTTTGGAGTATGTCGGTCAGGGGTTATAGCGTCGCAGGTTATGGGGCTCTAGGGTTAAGGGAATTGAGATTATAGAGTCATTCTGACGTTAAATTTGGATTCAGTGACCCAAAAAACATATAATTACACTATAACTCCTTATTCGGAAATTCGCCACTATTTCGTGCTTAACGAAATCGCTAAATCACTCAAATTAAATCTACGATATCTCGATGGAAAAAAAAGATTGTTAAATCTGAAAAAAGGGTTTTGAAGGGTAAGAGTAGTACTTTGAGATAGCATGACTCGTTTTGTAAAATAAAATTGGCTTACGACGTAATACTACGCGAAATATAGTGAAAAATCGTGTTTTTTGAACTTTTAGGTTAGGATTTCTCGAAAACCTAGGGTGATGGAGCAATTCTGAGGTCAGATTCGGTTTCAGCGCACCAAAAACCTTTGGGAACGTACTGTCTGGTTTCTGGGTTTTTCCATTTTTTAAATTTTGTCGGCCTGTGTTATCGATGGTATTATCGTGAAGAGTATGTCGCTTCCTTTAATTTGACATATTTATAAACGAAATTTTAGCAGGAAATTTTTTATTTATAGTTATAAGCAAAACATTACTTATTTTTTGTTTTTTTACTATAACTTTGCAAATAATGTAGCGATTGTACCTGTGCCAATAAAAAATATGTTGATAATTGAATAGCGAACATAATGAGCTGTCGCGCGATTTTGTGACATTATTAGAAGCCGAGAAATCTCGATAAAA